CAGGAACCAGGTGATGCACTCAAACTGAGTAATTGAGGAGAGTTGAATAAAGACTTACAGTTATCAAATGTATAAGATCTGAGGATCTCACGTACAACATGGTGATTGTAGTTGGTGGATAACACTATTGTATAATTAAAATTTGCTAAGAGCAGAACAGAAGTGTTTTTACCCCCTTCCCAAAGAGGTAAATATGTGGGGGGATGGGTGTGTTAGCTCGATGGCGGAATCCTTCCGCCATGTATACACATGCCAAGTCATCACACTGTAGTTTAGCTCGACAAGGGGTTCTCCTACGGGCTTTCGGCCGAGGTCAAGAACTGGCTCCTGCCCAAACATGACCCTCAGGAGGAGGCGGAGCTCCGCAGCCGGATGGAGGGACTCACGGGCCTGTCTGTGGGTCCCCACTTCCGGAAGGGCCTGAAGGATGGGACTATCCTATACACACTTGTGAATAAGCTCCCGCCCAACTCAGTCTCCATGATCAACTGCTCCATGCAAACTGGCACAGCCAGTAATCCTCTCCAACTCCATCTAGACCACAGTCAGCTGCGGCACGAACTCCGAGGGCCTGTTCATGGTCAGCACCTTGAGAGTGGAAACGTGAAGCAGGCGCAGGTGTCTCCTCTGGCTCTGGCCAGGAGGGCAAGACAAAGGGACCGAAATGCGGCGTGGACATCGACATCAAGCAGTGGAGCTTCGATGACGCCACCACGAAGGTGGACCAGTGCATCACTGGGCTCCAGGTGGGCACCAACAGTGTGCCAGCCAGTCAGGCATGACAGCATGTGGCATGTGAAGACATCTGTTGGTGACCCAAGAACCATATCCTGCCACCCATGGGCCATTCATCATGAGCCTGCAAATGGGTACCAACAAGTGTGCCAGCAAGGAGGGCAGGACAGCTCCCAGGACCCAGCGGCACTTCTATGACACCAAGCTGGGGACCAACAATTGTGACACCTGCGCCTGTCTCTGCAGATGGGCTGCCCGCAGGGAGCCAAACAGAAGAGCCAGGTCTCTGGCTGGGGCTGGCAGATATATGACCCCAAGTGCTTACCTCAAGGCGGACAGAGCTCCAGGGTCAGCCTGCAACTGCCCAAGCCCAGGGAAGGCCCTGGAATACCCCCTGCAGGCTACTGAGGCCCCCCTTGCAGGGTGTCTCCCCACATCATTGCCCATCTGGATTTGGGGGTTTTCTGTGTTTTCATCTTGTTTCTTCATGTGTTCAAGTGCTTCCAGCTGAGGGTCTGTGAAGGCTAGCTCCAGGCATGTGGGCTAGGGGACACTGCCAGGGCACAGCCAGGCAGCAAACTTCCCAGCAGGCTTTGGTGAAGCTGTTGGGGGAAGAGGCCCGTGGAGGGAGGGGAACTGGCTCCAAGCTTTCAGTTGCTTGGCCCTCTTTCCTTTTCTCGGCTATCAGTTTGTGGTTTCGGTACCCACAGAAATTTCAGGCAATTTTAACCAAAGTACAGTGGAACCTCATTTCTCGAACTTGATTCTGCTCAAAAACGGAATAATTTTTCTCCGTTAGAAATAATGTAAATTGAATGAATCTGCTCCAGGCCCCCAAATTATTCCCTCTTTCAACCTTTCCAATATACAGTACATGCCTATTGTATGGTTTAATCTATAAAAAACACTTTAAAAACAAAAGGGACATGGAATGAAAATTTAACAAAAAGGAAAGGAACTGTTCAGTAAAATGCAAAAACTTAACAATAATTATAAGCAGCAGCAAAAAGCAAAAACACAGGAAAATATTCACAGCACAGTATCCTGGGATGTTAGCAGTGGTAAATGGACTCCTGTTGGCAGTTCCCTCCTGAGCGATGCGTGACTGATCACACGGCATCAGCATGACAGGGCTGTCAGGTTGAGAAGCAAATTGCTCAAGGTGGGAGCCATTGGAGAAACGAGGTTCCACCATGATTGGGGTGGGGGATGGGGGGTATTAGTCAGCACTCCTATTATCTACTGCTGCCTAACAACCTATCCCAAGACTTAATGACTTCGATTAGCAGCCATTCTATTACATTATATCTGCAGTCAGGGATGTGGGGTGGGGTCAGCCGGCTTCTGTTCTGGTCCCACATGGCTTTGCTAATGTGTCTGGTCTCTTGGGGGCGGCAGGAAGGCTGCGCTCAGCTGGGCAGTCCAGGGAGGGACTGCATGTGGGTTCTCCAGTGGGGACTTCTTACCCTGCCACTCAGGGTTCCAGAGAGAATGTTCCAGAGGCACCAGTGGCAGCGGCAAGGCTTCTAATGACTTAGACTCAAAGTCCAGATGTGTCAGGTTCCCCACAGTCCACCAGGCAAACAAGTTCCTCTTCCAGCCCAGGTACAAAAGGAGGAAAATTAGACTCCATCTCACCCTGGAAAGAAGAGCAAAGAACGCGTGTCACCTTTATTTTTATTTTTAAAAAATATTTTTTTATTGATTTTTTACAGAGAGGAAGAGAGAAGGATAGTTAGAAACATCCATGAGAGAGAAACATCGATCAGCTGCCTCTTGCACCCCCCCACTGGGGATGTGCCAGCAACTAAGGTACATGCCCTTGACCGGAATTGAACCTGGGATCCTTCAGTCCGCAGGCCGACACTCTATCCACTGAGCCAAACCGGTTTCAGCAACATGTCACCTTTAATGGGCCAGCAAATCATCCAGGTTGGCCAGTGTGTGAGGACTGCGCTGAAAAGTGACTGATGTTGGAGAGGAACTTATATGTCCTGGTAGGGGCTGGGGAGACAGCAATAAGGTAGAGTGAAGGTTCTACAGTCAGGTTCAAGTGCAAATCCCAGCTGCCACTCACAGCCCATGTGGCAAGCAGGCTGCTCTTTTCTCGGAGCGTTGGTGTTCTCTCCTGTAAAAGGAGACCACTTCCTACTTCACGATCTTGCTGTAAAGATGAAATGGGATGGTGCTAATAAAGCGCTTCTCAGGGTACCTGCTCCAAGTACCCCTCAGTGAACAGAGCTGTTATGGTTTACCCTGAGCGGCACAGAGAGCCAGGAAAGGGTCTTAGCAAAAACACTGGTTTCCACAAGGTCCAGGAAGGATCGGTTTACAGCCACCCAGGGAAGGCCTATCTTCCCTAACCAAGGACACAATAATAAATGGTTTGCACTTCTCCCCCAGCAGAGGCTAAATAGCTCAAATCAGCCTACTCAGGGAGTTAGATAACAGAAATCCAATAAGTGCCATTAGTGCCAGCCACACCCAAGGACAGATGAAGTTAAGAGAATAAATCTCATTTTGGCACGTACGTGGGCATAAGGCTGACGAATATTCTATTAGAAACCCTTCCCTAAGTTCTCCTCTAAAATCCCCATCTTTAGAAAACAGATAAGACAAAAAGACCCAGCGAGGGCTCTCTCCGGAGCACGCTATGTCTTTTTTGCAGGCATGCATCTTTCCTTCTCTCTCCTAAACTTTGAGGGTCCCCAGGAGACTTGCAGTCAGAGGAGCAAAGGGCAGTGGCAGCTCGTCCCGGGCTGAACCCTGGTCCCTGAACCAATCTCCAAGGCCCCCTTCTCTCTGACTTTTCAGTGAGCCGGAGAGCAGCCCTGCCTTGACTCACTTCTTTCCCATAATGCTTCTGGGTCCAAAGCAGAGCACCCCTCGGCTCTCTCCTGTTGTTCTTCTACCCCAGGCCCTTCCTTTGTTTCCCTGTCCCCTCAAAATCACCCGGACTCCTGTCGTGAAGTGTTTCCCACATGAAGCCAAGAACCCACACGTGTCCGGGGCAGACCAACGCTGGCGGTGCTATTCCTGTGACTCAGCAGCCCAGGCTTAACGTGCAGTGAGCACACCAGCTTTGGGAATCGTGTTAAAAAAGAGATTCCAGCTCAGTAGGTGCGGGGAGGGTGCGAGAGTCAGCAGGTGCAGTCAGCTCCCAGGTGACATCGACGCTGATGACCCCGGCCACACTTTGAGAGTGTTGTTTCCAAATAAAAGTTTGATCATGTCTTGCCTCCACTTTAAACCCTCCACAGCCCTCAGGGGAAAGCCCTCACCAGGTCCCATAGTGACCTGTGGGCTCAGGTTCCAGCCTCTAGGCCTTGTCCTCCACTCTCCTGCCCTCTCTTTTCTCCTTATTGTTATCGGCTTATTTATAATACTAGAGGCTTGGTGCACGAATTCATGCACTGGTGGGGTCTGGCCAGGCCCAACCCAATGGGGGCCTATTAGGGGGGGGGGGCCAGGCGGTTGGGGCAGGTTGGCCACTGCAGTGTGCATCATAGCCACCCTTGATTTAAAACATTTTCTCCCAAATGTATGTGTCTAAACATGCATATTTTGGGGGTTTTGCTTTTATTATACAGTCTGCGAGTTACCTCATGGCCCAGGTAGTTTTATGCTTCTTTTTCACTCCACACTTTCTCAGATCGCTGTGGTGCTGTTTGTAGCTGAAGTTCATTCGATTTCACTGCTGTATACTATTCCATGGCGGGAGAGACCAGAGGTATCTGCCCACTCGCTGTGGGTGGGCCTTGGGGTGTGTCCAGTGTGTTCTTATTACGGGGGACACAGTGTGAACCTTCTCCGGCTTCCCTCTTCCACTCCAACTCCCTTCACCAGGCACACTCCCTCAGGTGCTCAGACGAGCCTTCCCCGACCTGCAGGCCGCGGTGGTCCCCATTACAGCTCCCTAATTACTTACACTCTTGTGTTATTACGTAATGAGCGTGGGTCTAGCCTGGGTAGAGAGCGAGCCCCACAAGGTTTGCGATGCTCACGGGTTCCCAGACTCCACCTGGGCCTGGCCCTCTGTAAGCACCCAGGCAGCAGAGCCGGGCCTGGAGGCTGGAGCCTGAGCCCACAGGTGGCTGCAACCCCAAGTCCCCATTGCTGGGCCTGAACTCCAGGAAAAGCACAGCTGGGGACGGCGGGGCGGGGCGGGGCGGGGCGGGGCCTTGACGGCCAGGGGCGGGGCCTTGGCGGACTGGGGCGGGCAGGGGGAGGGGCCTGGTCGGCAGGGGGCGGGGCGGAGCCGGGCCCCGTTAAGAAGGGCGAGGCGGGCGGCCCTTGCTTCGGAGTCCCGGGAAACGAACCGGCCTCCTGTTCAGCCCTCCACCGGACCGCGGGATCCAGCGGAGGAAGCAGCGGCGCGGGGCGCACGCTTGGCACCATGACCCAGACACCCTCCTTCGACAAGCCCAAAGTGAGCTCGGGCGGGGGCTCGGGTGCAGGTTCTGGCTCCTTGTCCTGGCTGGAGGGCTCAGCCTTAGGGGCTTCCGCCGAGCGGGATCAGCGGGGGCCCCTGCGGGTGCTTCTTCCCTCCGCTCGGCCCTCCTCCACCTCTAGGCTGGTTAGTGAGAGACAATGAGGAAGTGAGGGTCCTGAGTCTGGCGGCATCCCGGGCTGGCCTCCGAGTTCTGCTTCTGCCGCTGACTCGCCTCCTTTGGGTCTCAGTTTTACCATCTGTCAAATGGGCGCTGTCTTGGGACCTCATCTGTAAGATGGGGCTTGGGGCGCGGTGTCTGCAGCCACAGGTGGTGTTGGGTATGGTGCTCTATGAGTGTAAACAGCTTCCTACTCTAACACTGGTGGTCTTGTCGTTTGTGGCTGTATCACGGGAAGAACTGAGCCATGCCAGAGACGGGGGCAGGGGGTTTGGGAGGGCCTTAGGCTCTGGGCTCTGGTAAGATTCGAGAGCCACCGGCCCCAAAGGATAACCTTCTTCTCCCGCCTCCCCCACCAGCTGTGGTGTCTTGGGAAGGAATGGTGGGGTCAGGGGAGTCCAGGCCCACTTGGTGGGCTTCAGAGCATTGAGATTCACCAGGGAGGGGCGCGGCCCCGAAGTCCGCCCAGCGGAGTCAGTCAGCAGCTCGTGGGATCTGAGACTGCGGGGTCCGGGTGGTGTGAGTTTCAGTCTGCTTCACGCACCCATCTGAGAACAGGTGTATGTGATGATGGCAGATGTCACAGAAGTCTGGGTAAGAATCCCATGTGTGTGTACAGAGGAGAGGGGAAGGAAGAGGGGACTGGGAGGAAGCAAAGCCTAGCACCCCCACCTCCCCACCCCCACTGCCCATGCCCTAACCGCAGGGCAGATGCTCAGCTACATCCTCCCAGGTGTTCCAAGTTCTGGGGAATCACTTCTGCTCCCCTCCCTACCCCCGCCATGCCCCCTTCGCACTTTGTATGAATGCCCATGCTCCATCCTTAGAGGTTCTTCCTTTGAAGGCTGTTTTTTTGTTTGTTTTATTATCTTGCCTTAACTGTTCTTGGATTCCCTCTATGTTTGGTCTGGGAACCACCTTGCCTGAAATGAACTCCAATGCAGTAGGCAAACCCCCTAATGGGGAGTGAGGTGGGAGTTTTGGAGAGAAATAAAAGGTAGCGCTGCTATGGATCTTTGCTGTGTGCGCCAATCTGATCCTTGCAACACTTTTAACAACCCCGTGATGGAGCAACGATCGCTGTTCCCAATTTTTGCCCAGCCCAATCCTCTCCTCTGATTCAAGCTGGCAGGTCCTTTCCCCTCGCTGGGCCTCAGTTTCCACACCTGGAAGTGGGCCCCACCTGCTCGTAGAGGCATCCAGAGGTCACCCGCTGTGTGGGCAAGGTGTGGTGCACGTTTATCCTCAGAGGAGGGAGCGTGTCTGAGCGGGCAGGGAAGCAGAAGGAGCAGGACTCTCGGCCGCTTCACACTGGGTGGGGCAGGTGCTGAACTCCGGGTATTAGCAACCGGTGCTTCAATGGAGATGATTTTTGCGGTGCCGGGCCCCTTGCTGAGCATGCTACCTGCCTAATTCTATCTGTGACTCTGCGGCGTAGCTGATGTCACTCCATTTTATAGATGGAGAGACAGGCACCAGGTTCATTGGGTTAGGAAATCACAGTGGCCAAGCTGGGGGCTGGCCTCACAGTCCCGGGGCCCTGACGAGCTCTCCTGAGCTGCCTCTGCAGAAGCCGCTGACGGTGGAGGTGCCGGAGCCCCAGGGGCAGGCCTCTGGCTGCTCCGGCCTCTGGCTGCTCAGGCCACCTCCAGGTGAAGCCAGGCCCCGGCCAGTGTAAGCAGCCAGAGCCGAGCAGTGCTTTCCAAACGCTCAAGTGTACTCAACTCACCTGGTGCTTGATACCATTCAGCCTGTTTACAGACGAAGAAGCAGAGGCACAGAGATGAACTAGGGAAGGCCAGTGGTCGGCAAACTCATTAGTCAACAGAGCCAAATATCAACAGTACAGGGATTGAAATTTCTTTGGAGAGCCAGATTTTTTAAACTTAAACTTCTTCTAATGCCACTTCTTCAAAATAGACTCTCCCAGGCTGTGGTATTTTGTGGAAGAGGGGCCAGAGAGCCACATGTGGCTCTGAAGCCGCCGTTTGCCAACCACTGGGTTAAGCCGTGCTAGGGGGCTGGCTTCCCGGTCCCTCCTGTGAAGGAGTCTAGGGCGGGGGCTGAGGCGCTCCCTCTGATACGCTCCCAGGTGATGCTGATCGGCTGGTCCACGGACCACACTTTAGGTAGCAAGACCCTAGCAGCTCCCTACCTGGGTCGGTTATGTCATTCCAGCAAGTGCCTCCTGTGCCGCTGTGGACTCTGGAGGAGGTGGGAGGAGGTGCAAAGCGAGATGGGGGGTGGCCCTCATCTGTGTCCGCAGGGCAGGGCCGGGAAATGCCCAGGCTCTGAGAGTTCTTGGTCAGACAGGGCAATACAGACCACCTGCCTGGTATTTTAATAATAGTAACAGCTGCCATTTAAGTGTGGGTTCCGGTACCTTCCATGATTTATCTCTCAGAATCCTCTGGACAACTTAACAAGGCAGATATTTTCTTTTCATTCTTTTTGCTGCTTAATGCGGATTTTATTTACGAGAATTTGGGGGAACAACACCCCAGGGGGAAAGGGGTGATGGGGAAGACTCCTCTCTGGGGGATGCCGGCCACCCCCCTGCTGTGTAGATGTTGGGGTCCCATGAACCCGTTGCGGTAAGAGGAGAGGAACATGTCTGTGAGCCAGAGGGCTGGGCGGTATCCACCCACAGGGACACCAAGGCTGCAGAACTGGCAGTGTGTTCTGCAAGACACAGGAGAACAGCGTCACAGCGTCGCTTGCAAATAGTAGGAAGGCAAGGTGCCACGCCAGGCCCAAGACTGCAGCATGCAGGAGACGAGGGAAGCCCCTTGTCAGGCCACCCACAGGCAGAACACGGGGTGACCGCAAATCATAGTGGCACGTGATGGTTACCATCACACCCACAGGCGGAGCCTTCTCTGCAGCTGCTCCGTGGGCCCCGCGAGGAAGGCTCCCAATGGATGTGGTGTTGCCGGAGGTGTAAACCGGCGAAGGGCTAGTCCCTCCTCGGCAGCCAGAGCAGAAGGGTGCCCAGGAGGGAGCAGAGAACTCCTGTAACAAGACACGCAGGGAGCTTTCTATCCTGGCATCCCAGCATAAGGAAGGTTCCATCTCCCCCCTCCCCAGTCCCCAACCCCGCCTCGGCCAGGCTGCCCTGGTCCTCATTGTCTGGCCCACTAAGCACCTTCTTCAGCTTGTCCATCAGGCCTCCTCCTCTTATGCTGCTCTGTCCACAGAGGCAGATGTCCCCCCCACTCCGTCCCCCATTTATAGACTAGGAGGCGGAGGCCTGGGGAGGTGAGTGGCTTGCCCTGGGCTACACATTCTGGGAGCTGAGCGAGCAGCCATGTTGGAACAGCGGTCTCTGAACTGTTCCTTTTAGAGGAAGCGGAGAATTGGGGCTAAATGTCCTAGGCACTTTTTCTTTCTCTTGTTTGAATGTGGACTCCGAATCTGGTGCTGTTCTGACTTGCATATTTGCTTGTATTGACTCATTTAATGCTCACACCAGCCCTCCTGCAGTAGGTCCTGTGAGTCTCATTTACATAGGAGGAAGTTGAGGCTCAGAGGGGAAAGAACTTGCCAAAGTCACACAGCCAGGAAGGGGGAGGGAGGGCTAGCTGAAACTGATGTGGGTGCTGATACCTGCTGTACTCCCCTGCCACCCCCACTCTGGGGGTGGAGCTAGACTTAGGGTGACCTTGGACTTCAGATCAACCCAGGTGGGATCCCTGTCTTGAGACTTAGCAGCTAGAAGGGCTCAGGTGAACAGTTCCCTGAACCCCAGCTTCCTTCTCTAAAACGGGCTGATACACCAAGGTCCTGGGGCTCTTGTGGGGAACTGACCTGCTGGTTGGAGCGTGTTCCTCCCAGGCTGCCGTGGGGGGCGCTGTGGCCTCGGGGAGCCTCCATCTGCCGTGTCTCCCTTCTGCCACCGAGCCCCTCGCCAGCCAGCGCCGCCCTGGGCTGTCGGTGTTTTCGGTGACCAGAGCCATCTGTTAAATAAAGGTGCCCTGAGAGGAGCCCGCCTGACCCTGGCCGCCTACGGCAGCCGGGAGGCAGGGGAGCAGAGATTGGGTTTCACCGAGGTCTCTGTTTGACAGAAGAGGAAGCCAGGAGGAGGGAGGGGAAGTGCGGCGTCTGGTCACAGCGAGGCGAAGGAGGCCAGCAGCCTCCTGACCCCGGGGCTGACCTCGGGGGCCGGACCTGGGAGGACCCTGTCCCCCGGCCCGCTGCCCCAGGGCCTGTCCCCACAGCTCGGGAGGGAGGGCAGGAGCGTGGCCTGGTGTGACCAGGGGAGAAGAGTAGGCCAAAGTGAGTTCGAATCTGTATTTGCCCGGAGTGTTGGGGGCTGGCTTCCCCTCCCCTTCAGGGTTCTGAGGCCCTCGGGCTGTGGATTGAGAGCAAGTGGCCTCAGGGTCCTTTGGCCCAGTGAGAGGGAGACCAGCGAGTTTAAACTCGGGGAGCCGCTCGGCCAGGCTGCCTGGGTCTGAGTGCTGTTCCCCCTCCCCCACGGTGGGAGTTTGAGTTGCTTCTGCGTGCCTCAGTTTGCCCGTGTTAAAACGGGAATCGGGAATCGTCGTTTCTCCACCTGCATAAACACCGAGTACAGGCCTGGCTGCCAGGGCGGCGGGGCGGGGGCTGGGGGCGGGCCACGGCGGTGCTAACTGCTAACTGATCATCCATCCTCCTCGTATTATTAACCATTCGGTTCAGATTGTAGCAGCGCTGACTCAGCGCTGATATGCAGGGCGAAGGGGTGGTTGTGGCTTCCTGTGCCCTCACTGATCTGTGACCGAAGGCAAGCCTCATTTCCTCACCTGGAGAGAGAGGTGACTGCGGCATTCCAGGGCTATGG